TGACAGGACAAGACCCACAACTTCTCAAAAATTAATACTAATGACTAACAAACTGGAGTCCTCCGAAAGCAAGAGGGCCTCACTCAAAAGCTGACGAGCGGATGAAGTGACCCCAATGGAATTTTGTTGAGGATCCTAAGTGTCTGTATCCAGCATCATTAAAAGATGCAAGTCAAATGGCATCAATACATTAAATTTATGAGTATGTAATATAGCTGAAGCGAAATAACTGAATGAAAGGACTTCAATAAGTATAACATAAACTCAAGTGAACGTAAAAAATTAAAGGAATGAAATCATTTAAACTTTACAAAAATATTTACTCATATCTGAAACTCAACATAATAAGTGATATAGTAAAAATACATCTTAACTCTATTTGGGAGATTTTCTAACTGACAACCATTATTATGAGCTACGTGATGATACAACGTCTCACCCACGCTGCCAGAACTGTCTTATACTGTGCTGGGGGTATAGAACCTCTCAACTAAATGGATCCACTAAGCAATAAAGATTCATCTAAAAAGTATGATCCTTTACCCATATTGGCAGACATGGTTTATGAGGATTTTGAGTTATCTGAACTCATCCTCATAACGGTGTTCAATACTACTCCCAAAATATATACTCATGATCAAATGTATATGATATACTCTTTCTCTGTTATGAGGTAATTACTCAAAATATCATCTTAAAAGAGGTAACTGCTCTGAAACATCTTTGAACTCATAACTCATTTAGAATTCAAAATTTCTCTTTTCTCTATATAATAAAATGATACATTTGGAACTTCTTAGTTCCCTTATACTCTTTCTCAAATCAATTTTCAAACTCTTTCTCAAGATTCCTCTTTGCTTTCTCAAAACTCGGTTTAAAACAATTATGTATGTTTAAAATAATCTCAATAAGAGCTTAATGAATTATCAGGGATAGGGTTCATGCTGAAAAATAGGCATGAACAATCAACTCGATAAATCTCAATGCACAATTTACAACAATTCAAAAATTAGGAATAGAAATTCAATAAGTAGGAACTCAAGAACTCGGAACTTAGAACTCAACATCAACTCATCTAAAGAATACTCAAACTAAGGATAGAACCCTGGATTACTCTTTTATTGATTTAAAAGTAGATGTAGGGTGTGGGGACGAAATAGTCCAACACTATGATAGCCATACATACCTGATTATGAAGCTATTAGACTGAACAATTTGGTGGAGACTTGATTTTTCTTGAGCCCGAGTAAGAACACTACGTTTCTTGGATGAAATCTTTCGTCATGGAATCTTAATGCTTGATCTTGAGAAAAGAAATTCTTTTATGGAGTTTCTAGAGTGGAAGAACTTGAGAAAACCTTGGATGGAAGGTTTCTCTTTGTATCTTTAATTTTTTTGACTTGAAGGTTTTAGGGTTCTTGATGGAGAAGAGGAACCCTAGGTGAGTCTTAAGAGAATTTCTAAATGCTCGAGTGTTTAGATTGATAGTTTTGAGAGGAAAACTAGTTAACTGAATGATATATTCAGTTAAAACACTCATAAAAGACTTAGAATAGGGTTAAAAAGCTTGGGAATGGATCAAAACAAACCTAGAACGTGTGCAACAAGTTTCTAAAAAAAAGAGTGCAGCAAGCCTTCATGGAAGGGTCTACCATTCGTCAAATTTACACCATTCGTAGGTCCAGTCGTAGAACATCGACTACATGATAGGACTTCACTAAAATAGGCATAACGTTTTACTCTGAATTCGAAATAAGGCAAACTTGATGGTGTTGGAAAGAAGACTCATAGACCTTTAATTTGTTATGTCATTGTCCTAATTCATTATATGCTAAGAGATATGATTGTTTGAAGTTGACCTAAGTATAATCTTATATCAAAACTTAATTGGTAAGGAAGCTTTCAACTCAACTTTGTGCTAGGGGATTCTAGTGATCTTAATCTATATCCAAGTCCATTCTCACACTAAAGAATTGATCTTAACACCTAAGAACAATTTAAGAATCAACTGATACGACCTTTTTCACCAATGAAGAATGATTCAGGTCTTAGCTTAGAAATTTTATGGGTGTTACAAGAGGTGTACCAGAGATCGTATGTAGTCAGATGAGGTTCTAATTAATTTTATGATTTTCTATGTGTGCGTAGATAGTATATTTGAGTTATCAATGTGGAGTAGGCTGATGTAAGCATTATCTATTACTCTTAAGAGTTTGGTCGAAGGGATCATATATAGCCAATGATGAGCCTCTTAAATATAGTTCAAGTTTCCTCTAATTAGGTAGATATGATCTTAAAAGGACAGTATTAGTGGGCCAAGAAAGAGAAGTTAAATTATGTAGAGTTAGATTAAACGACTTTATAAGCCATTGCAGGTAACAATTATAGAAAGACATCTATAGAAGCGGGAAGATGTTAAGAGAAACCTCTCAGAAAGAAGCCCTAGAAGGAATCTTAGTACCTGCACATGGAGAGTTCAGTAGCCATGAGATTAGCATTTCCCGAGTATTAGAAATATACTTGTTGATGCCCTCTTGCCTAACTTGATTCTAAGGGTCGCAATAAACAGAATGTTGGAGTCCAGTAGTAGTTCTTTAGAGTACGGGCTTATTGTTCACAATACCCTGGCTAAAATTTCATTCCCATCAGAGTTGGTATTATCTCTACCTCCTCGAAAAGAAGAGACTTGAACGACATTAAAGATGGTAGAAGAGTGTACAGTAGCTGTTGAAGAAGTAAAGATGAGGAAAAGGAAGAAACCTTTTTGTTTTATAAATGAAAAGGAAGAAACCAAGTGATGCTGCTGCTGTAAACATATAATGGGGAGTTGCACAAGACGCTGTTGTTACTGATAGTTATATGTTGACGATGAACCCTGCTGCATATCATCCTCATTGTTTGGGTATGCAATACAAGAGATATGGTCATCATGTCTTACCAGAAGAGTCATTTAGAGGACAATATGTTGAAACTAGAAAACCAGATTTTAAAAGGAATAAGCATGAGATGAGTAGTGAGTTTCCTATTGTAATATATATCACATTCTGTAATGTTATCGAATTCAATAAATTGTTTATTTAAGTACTTCAGATTTACTTTTCTGGTATCTAATATTTTTTTCTTTTCAAGTTAGATTAGTAATGTTATCATTGTTCGATCAGAAATAATTTGATATATATCTATTTATGCTCCTCTATATTAACGACATTAGAACGCGGCAAGCATGCACTATTTAAATATTCTCAATGTCATTACCTGCTCACATCAAGCAAACTACGTTAATTCAAATGGACGGTACTACACAAGTGCCTGAACATGAACGACCTATTTCAAATACAATTTCAAAGAATACTTTGCAAATGAAATAAAAGAATGTGTTAGAGTTTAGACATCGATATGAGTACATTAGCAACTCCAGATGAAGGACGATTGACTTGAATAAAGAGTCTCATCCTTTTATATGTTAGATTAACTACATATATAAAACTGTGACTTAAAAATAATCATTCGAGCACATCGCTAACTAGTGGTTTGGGAATATCATCATAGGAAAGCAAAGCTCTTTCGCGTTCATAAGGAGACTAACAAGGGACTTGAGCATATGGGAATGATAAGTAGAAAAAAATCCAATGCTAACTGAATGGAAACATCATGTGAAAAAAGTTCAATACTCCAATATCTTTGAGGTAGAAAAAAATAAAGTGTCTTTCATCTCATTGACATGAATAACACAATAAGGTTTCATGGAGTTAAGTTCACTAATATTCCTCATTCTAACACTAATTACAATTTTTCCTAGCTATTCAACTGCTCTAAAAAATGTGAAGCCAAGTTTCTTTATCAGTTCCTCAAACGAGCAGTAAGTTCAATGAAGACGTCCTCTCTGCAGGGTAATGTGAGACTGCCCAATGGATGATCAAAACCAAATTCCTTCTCAGCTTGACTGAGCAAGTCTTGAAATAAAGGTTCTCTCAAAAATGATATAGGGATCACAAATCACTTCTTCTGCTCCCTCTCCAACATACACCGCAAGATATCCCTTAGAAACATCTCTAGATTTCTTAACTATACGAGGCATACGAATAGCCATTATTTTAGCTTTAGCACATATGAGAAAAGAAAGAAGAAAATACTGAAGACCTCAAAAGTAGAGAAAACTTTGAATACTTTCGAGGTTGCTGAGTGTTGTAGTGGTAGACACCTTCTTGAAAGTGTCTATATAGGACAATGGCAACTAAGAGTGTCGTGTTATTCTGTAAGTGTCTATATACCAGCAGAAGGCAATAGCACCTGAAGTAACATGTTTTTGCCTTCCAACTAATAGTCAAAGTATTTATGAGTTTAATTCACATTAGTTCAAGACAGGACGCCCTACCTTTAACTTGGTGTTCTAGTAAGCCTTTATTATTGAAAAAAAAAAGGATTATCCGTCACCGAATACAAATAGAACAAAGGGAAGTGGGATGTTCAATGTGGCTAATGATGACAGCTTGGCATCTGGACACTGTTAACTTGTGTTGCAGCTTGCCAGTAACTCCTAAAATGAATAGAGATGGATTCTTTAATCAGTATCTAATATCGTGACAGAAAATTCCGAAGTTCTGCCAAATAAGAACAAAGAAAATGTCTGATGGAGTGTGATCTACTAATGTCAGTTCATTCATATTTTTGAGATTTTTCGCTGCCGTATAAAGTTTTCTTTGTTGTAATTACCAAAATATTTCAGTATTCACAGATTGAGTTAATTAACATAGACTTCACCACTTCAGAATCTCCAATTCCCTTGTTATGATGAAACGAAATCAGGAAAAGATATCTTCCCGACAAGAATACTGAAAAATCACTTGGCGAAAGAATAAATCTAAACATATTTCATTTGCTAAAGAATGTGCAGTATGTTTTTTTGACATCAGCTACTGAAAATTACATCCAAAATTGGGATCTACTGTCATAGAAGACAAATAGCCTCCTCGTTTTAATTTTCAGTAATGTGTATCGAATAAAGAGTCTTTCCTAAATATCCTGATGTACAAACTAGAAAGGTTAGTTCTTTACAAACTGTGGAAGGAAAAATCTCAGAACCTGCTCAAGCGAGAAGTAAGATCAATGAACTCATCCTCACTACAGCGAATTGTGAAACCACCCATTGGATGATCAAAGCCAAATTCTTCCTCAGCTTGAGTAAGCAAGTCTTGAAATAAAGGTTGGCTCAAGAATGAAATGGGGATCACAAATCTCTTCTTTTGCCTCTCCCCAACATAAACAGCAAAATTGCCTTTTTGAACGTCTTCAGATGTAGAAAACTTCTTGATTAGAGGAGGCATACGGATTGCCATGGTCGTTATGTTCAATATAGATGAACAAATAAGGATTGGAAGAATTAGTGAGAGAATAGCACCTAACAAGTTGAAAGCAGAGAAAAGCTTTGTATGGTTTCAAGTATTGGTGAGAGCTGTTATGGTAAACATTTCTTAATTTGTATGTGTTTATATAGGCTACTAACAAGTTGTAGAATCCTATTGATATGCATTGAATAGCCATTATTTGGGTACCAACTAAAGACAATAGCCATTATTTGCCTTGCCATTCATTGTCATGTCATTTATATATTGAGACTAATGTAAAAGCAGAAGGTCCCACTGATGTTCACCACAAAGAACAGATGGAAATGTCATTTTCTTGAAAAATGTTTTAGCTAGGGTACTTGTGTACTTCAGTACTTGTGCTGTGCCACTCCAGATCATGTGTGGACCTCAGCAACCAGAAGTTTATCTTAATTTGGCAATATATTATGATAATATACTGGTACAAAGTGCGGAATTAGAAATAAGTACAAGTCTCACTCTTTGTTTCTCAAATAGAATAAAGTAAAGAAAAAGGAAGATAGAGTACCCCCCGAAGTGACAAGCAGCTACCTCTTCAGTTCCTCGACAAGCCTCGAACTCAGAAGAAGGAGAAAGAACTCACGCAGGTTTGGGGTCAAAACCCACACAAGTGCAAAACCAAGGAGTGAGTACCAACCACATGTACCCAACAAGCAACCTACTAAATAAAGCAACTAGATAGAAATTGAATACCCCTTACACTCTAGCTGAACCTCCTCAAACTACAACCTGCACAAAAATCAGTCCGACCTAGAAATTCTACAATACACGGCTCACAAGGCCCAACATCCACAGTTCAAATGTCACAATCATAAATCAAACGAATCGTGTATGTCATTCTCAAAGTCAAATAGTTCAGTCACACACAACAAGTACATCAATCTCAAGTAACAAGCCAATCACGCATAAGCATCAATGCATCAAGTCAGAATAATTAAACTCTTGTCGGAACTATTTCCCATCGACAGAACATCACTAGCTCGAACCATTTCAAATCGGCTTTCTATTGTTAGCCTTCCTGGCCTTCCTGGCCTTCAAGGATTTTGATTAATAACAATAAGTTCACCATCAAATGCAGGAACAGACGAACACCAACGTAGCATTACGGTCAGGATCAAATCAAGCCATAAGGACCACATAGATGGAAAGGAATGGATATTCCCGATCACACTCTAATCAAATTCCCACTGATTGATGCATCTCCATGGATCAAGGAATATTGACAAGGATAAAATCAGATTGTGCAAGATCAGTAGATTCCCTTTGATTGACAAATCTCCAGAAATCAATGAATATTGACAAGGATAAGATCTGATCTCAACACATCAAGGAAGACAGCCGCAAGACCTAAGGAATCCAGGAATGAAGACTCCTCACCAAAGAAGGAAGGGCATCATGAACATATCTGATATGGACATGATTACAATCCTCTCCAAATCAACCTCAATCAAGGAATCTCTACAAATCCTTGATTGAATGAAAAATCCCTTGGGTTTTCCTTAAGAAGAGCAAAGGATCCTCACCTATTTAAGCCTACCTCAATCTCATAGAAGACTATGCACTTCACTTGAACTTGTACTATCATCTTTTGTTGTCTTTCATAAAAGCATTGTATTCTCGTGAGTATACAATTGAAAAAGAAAAGAGAGACAAGAATTTGAGTGTAGGCTATACAAGTAGAAGTTGTGTTAAAGTAGAAGTTCTGATTTGCACATCATACATGACTTACAGTCAAATCATTTTGTACTGCCCAAGTTCACTTCAAGCTCTTAAGGAAACCCTTAAATCCCAAGGGGACTGGAAGTAGGCACCACATCGGTGTTCCGAAACAGTATAAATTTTCTGTGTCATTTACTTACTGCATTTACTATTACTTTATATATGTGTTACTGATCTTGGGCATATTTATATGCCCAATTACTACAAATTACCCATCTTTAACGTAAGTTTTAGGACATTCACTAATCTAACTAACATATTTTGGCTTAAGATTGCGATGATTGCATACTAACATACATGATTAGCAATTTTTCCGGGTTCCTAAGGGAAGTGATTGAGTCAAGGAAGAAAAAGGAGTTAAAGATGAAAAGCGACGCCAGGAGCAAAAGTCAGGTGCGGCACCCTAGCACCATTGGCACAGTAAGGGCGCGACGCGCTAAGCTCCAGTTGACTGAGGCCACTTTTGGGCGCACTGGCAGCGCGGCGCGCCAGCCTGCCAGGCGCGAATTAGGCGCAATCACCCCCCCTTCTTGACTTTCAATTGGTATCAGAGAAGGTCTCACAATTGAAGTGTTTAACCACACGTGAGTAAAGATCAAATGGAAAATTATCAAATTCCTGGTGCCCTACTCCAAGATGGACACTCTTCAAATCGCCCTTCTTACTTCAATGGTCAACACTACTCTCACTGGAAAGATAGATTCAGAATTTTCGTTACCTCAAATGATATTCAGGCTTGGATAGTTATCTAAGAAAGGGCCAAAGACAATTCCTGGACTCACAGGAAAGGATGCCATTGACAAACCTTTCGATCCAGAATCTTTTGACATCACAAAAGATCAACAAGAGGTAATCCAAACTAACGCTAGAGCTCCAAGTCTATTGTACTGTGCAGTTAGCGGAGCTGAATATGACAAGATCTCAATATGTGAAACTGCTAAAGAAATGTGGGACAAACTCTAAGTCACCTATGAAGGAACCAACAAAGTGAAAGAGGCCCGAATCAACTCCTTAGTCAATGAATATGAACTATTCAAAATGGCGGATGATGAAAACGTTGAAAATATGTTTTCAAGATTTAGTAAGATTATATGCGAGCTTAAATCCTTGGGAATGGTATACTCAAATGGACTACTGGTCAGAAAACTTATCAGAAGCTTACCAAAGGCCTGGGAAACCAAGGCAGTTATTCTTGAAGACGGAGACCCGGAGAAAATGACCTATGATGAACTCAGAGGAAATCTAATGGAATATGAACAAAATCACATCAATAGATATCAAAAGGATGATAAGAAGAAAATTGTAACTTTCACTGTTGCACCAACTGAAGATGAGGAAGACATAAATGAAACTCAAAGTGAGGGAATGGCTCTCATAAACCGTGGAGTCAGACAAATGCTAAGACAAAGGAGACAAAGACCTCATCAAGACTTCGAAAACAATGATTATCAAAGAAATAATGATCGATGTTACTATTGCAAGAAACCAGGACACATAAAACAAAATTGTCGTGAGCGAAAGAGAAGAAATCCAGAAGGAATGGAGATCCAAAAAGCCTTGGAGCATAGAGTCAAGATGAAGCATCTAAAGATGATCATGAAGAAAGAGCAAACATATGTTTCATGGAACTAGGAGAATCAAGTGAGGCAAGATCCTTTAACTGCTCCAAGTGTAATAAACTTCAAAATTCGCTAGATATGGTTACTGACAAATTGCAGAAGGTTATTGATGAATACAATAAAATTGCTCAAGAAAAGAAAGACTGGCAAATCCTTCTCGAAGCAAGTCAGATTGAAGTTGACTTACTATCAGAAGAACTCGAGGATGTAAAAATGTAATTAAACAGTATCAGGAAATCTCCTAGACATAGTTCTGTTAGATCAAACAGATCTATTCTCAACTCCCAACATTCCTCCCCTAAATTTGCTAAATCGTCTCTCAATATCACTTGTTTATCTTATGGTGACACTGGTCACAAATCCTTTAACTGCAGAAAATACTCTTTCGATAAATGGATTTGGAGACCAAAAACTGGAAATACTAACCATCAAGGATCCAAGAATACTTGAGTACCTAAAAGAAACTAATTTCTTTTTCTTGCAGGAGCACACCAGGAAAACCTATGGAATAGGAATATGGGTAATTGATAGTGGTCGCTCTAGACACATAAGAATATTATTATTATTATTATTATTCATAAGAATATTATTATTATTATTATTATTCATAAGAATACTATTATTATTATTATTATTAATATTATTATTATTCATAAGAATATTATTATTATTATTCATAAGAATATTATTAGTATTATTATTATTATTATTAAGGATATTGACTTGCTTGATATATGACCGATGCTGTCACTAATTCTGAATATTCTCATATATTCAAAATTCCGATGGAAAAATTTGTATGCAGTTTGATGATAAAAGTGTTCCTTATAATAGACATTCATTTGCTTCTGATAGAAGATTGACTATTCAACATATTTCTCCTATAGAACCTTTTTATGGTCCAGCTAGAAATTGCGCTGCCTCTTTGCATACTTTATCAACAGTTATATCTGCAGAAAAACAAAAAATAAAAATTGATCCTCGGTTAAACATTGTTCAAACTAATGACAAATCATCTGATATTTCTGCTAAGGATATTCCTTCTGCATCCGAAATGGATTTTAATCTAAATGATGCTTAATGATGAGTGAACATCAAATTTATTTTAGTCCAGGATCACTGGCGAGAAAATATATTCAAAATGAATTTTCAAATGAAAAATGGAACCGATTTAAAACATG